CCCCTTTGTGTGTGGAAGGGACGGCCTTTTGAGGTGTCAAATTTTGTAGGGGCAGCAGATACCGCGCACTGCCACTCGGGCGTAGGAACGGCCCCGAGAAAAGGGGGTCTCCTAGTATCCAAGGTCCAGAGGCGTCTTATTGAGAGCGAAAAGGGATGAGGTCCCGAGGGGGACATCCCCATTGGGGTCTGTTCAGTCAGCTTGCTGGAAAGGGACATGTGCATATCTCTCGGCGGATGGCTCAATGAGCACCCTCCGCATGTGCCAAATAGTCGGTGGTTGGCGGAACGGAGTCCCGTTTGCACTCTTATAGGGGCCTGCGTGCTTAGCAGCCCCCTTGCAGTCGATGAAGGCGACATTCCGAGCGTGGGTTTTGGGACCTTGTACTCGAGTTACGAGGGACTCTCTGCACACACCTTGGGTGGTTTCCAGTTTGCGAGAGACGGGCGAGTCGTTCTTTCGTGGTCGAGCGAACATTTTTGCGGCGCCGTGAGGGTCCATGGTCGTCTCTCTCAGAGGGCTTATTTCACGACAGCTCGGTCGCCGCTGGCGCCAGTCGCGGCTGTCGTGGCTTTCCTATGCCGTGGTGCCGGGTTGTGGATCGTTGCGTTCACCCTCGCTCATCGTCTTGCGATGATTGGCGCCTGATCGCCGACGGCGGTCCGGTTGGAGGTCGTTTGCAGGGTGTGGAGGCGGAGGTGCCCGTCACCGACTCTCAGCTTCAGCACCATCATCCCGTAGGTTTCGGGGAGAGCGGTTGCGACTTTGTTGTGGTGTCGTCTTCGTGTCTGCGCCGTTGTTCGTGTCCGCACTCACAACGGCGCGTTCCGTTTGTGTTGAGGGGGTGTCACGACTTGGTGAGGACGATCTGCGCTCTTCTCCACCTGAGCGACGCCATTGAGCGGTGGCGCAGGTGGCCTCGGCCCTGCACCCGCTGCTTACAGTATGCGAGGGCAGAGACTTGTGGGATGCGTGATGCACCCTCCGACGGCGTCGCGAGGTTGGGCCCGTCATCCGCTCGACTTGTTGGAATGCACAATTGTGCCCGTCGTGTCCCCCATCCTGTGGTCTGGGTATGCTGCACACCGTGACGGATGGCGTTGCGTTGTGGTTCCGCTGCGTTTAGGTTGTGGGCTTTGAAGGCTACTGTCCTCTGTCTCATGGGTCTCGCCTGCGTCGAGTTCTGTTGGTGGTGCCCGGGGCAACAGCCGCATGTGGATCCAGGGGGGAGGGGGGGTGCTCCTTTTGCGCCCCCGTGCACAGGTGGAGGTTTTCCGTCCGTCCGGGCGTGTTGGAAGCGTGGTGCATTCGTTTCTCTCTTCACCTGCTTTTCTCGATGGAGAGATGAGGCTGTGCACTTCGCTGTCAGTACGTTTTGGGCGGGCGGTGGCATCCGGCTGTGGGCCGAAGCGGTCGGCGGTTCCTTTGCGTGCGCCGTTGTTCGGATAGTGTGGTTATCTTGTGATCTCAGGGTGTGGTGTGGGCGGGTGCTGTTCGCAGCCAATCTTGTGAGCGGGTGCGGCAGGCTTGTTGGATTGTGCGGTACCTTGCCGTTGGAGATGGCCTACGGAGGGGAAGTTCACCTTCAATTCAAACAGCCGGACTTCACGGCGTCTCAGCAGCTCATTGCACGTTCCATGATTGTTCGACGTTCTTTTGGTAGGCTGGCCGGCGTGACGTGCCTACGTGCGCCTCGGCCATCACTCCTTGCGGCTGCTTGTTACACCCGCTACCTGGTTGATCCTGCCAGTAGTCATATGCTTGTCTCAAAGACTAAGCCATGCATGTCTAAGTGTGAACACTTTGCACTGTGAAAAAAA